CCAGCTGTGAGCCTGGTGTGTGGTAAACAGGGTCATTGTCATTATAAGCTACATTAATAGCATTCGTGCCTGCTAACAAATGTGTCCCTGAAGAAAGGGGATGCATTGCCAGTCAGCTGAGCACGCTGAAGTTGCTCCAAGGGAGAGGTGACAGGTCACCTATTCATCTACTACTGCATCCGCCTGCCATATGGTGTGATGGCCTGGATATAAAATACCCTCCCCAAAGCACATGTTAAAGGACTGGTCCCTAGCTTATGGGACTTGAGGGTGCACACTTCATCAGTGGGTCAATCCGTTGTCTTTGGTTTGGTTTTGGGACAAATTCTCTAGCCCAAGGTGTCCTCAAACTCCGGTGTAGCCAAAGATGAACGGCGGATCTCTTGCCTCCACATCTCCAATCCAGAGTATCAGGTGTGTGTGTGTCACTATGTCGCTTATTGATGTGTTGGGGATCAAACCCAGGGCTTTATGGATGCTGGGCAAGCACTCTGCCATCTGAGTTAGATCCTAGCCTTAGTTAATCTTGACGAGTTCATACTGAATGGGCTTTTTAAGAGATGAGACCTGGATGAAGCTTGCTCTCGAGCTTGCTCTTGGCTATCATAATGGGAACAGGTTTCCCCACTCCGTGCCTTCCTGTCACCATGCCCCTGCCTCACCACAGGCCTAGAAGCAACAGGCCCAGCACCTTGACCATGGACTTGAGACCATGAGCCAAAATGAATCTTCCCTCCTTCAAATTGCTGGTCCTGGGGACTTCCTCACAGCAAGGGCGATGGATGGACACATCTGAGCTGCCTGTCAGCTCCTCATGACAACTATGCACCAGGAGGTGACACCGACTCACTGTGCAGACAGGTCACTCAGACTGACATGAGGAGGGGCCCGTCTGGGTGACAGCCAGTGCGTGAGCACAGATGGTCTAACCGTAGGGACATAGCCCCAGCAAAGGACGCATCTGGAGTCACCAGCCATCTAGGTAAGCACTGTGTCCCCGCACTCCTCACTCTGGGCTTTGCTGTCTCCCCTTTGTGGATGGGGAAAGTGAGGATCAGGCACTGCAGTCCCTTGCTATTGAGGAGCAGAGCCACAATCTGAGACCGGCAAGGTGGCTCGGTGGGTAGTGCTGCTTTGATGCCAAGCCTAATGTTCTGAGTTTGGTCCCCAGGACCCTCACGGTGGAGGAGAGAATTAACTCCCACTTGACCTGTGTACACACGCTGTGGCATATACATGTCCAAACATGCACACGCACACATACCACATACATACACAAATAAATACATTATATATAAATATATACAAATAATATACATATAAATACAAATAAATACATATATACATATATATATGTTTTTTGAGGCAGTTTTTCTGTGTACCTCTGGCTCTTCTGGAATTCAGAGAGATCCGCCTGCCTCTGCCTCCCTCCCAAGTGTTGTGATTAAAAACATGCACCAGCATGCGCAGCAAGTATAATTTTTTAAAATGTCACAATCTGAAGAAGGCAGAACCACTTCTTCCCCAGAAGACCCCACCCCAGGCCACACTTCTGCCTAGCCACACTCAGAGCCCCTGGCTCCTCTCTCCACCTGCAATTTCTGCCTCCTCGCCTCCCCAGCTATGGACTGAGTGGCCAGGGAAGGAAGGAGTCCCTGTCATGGTTTGAATCGGAGATGGACCTCCGTGTGACAGTTAAAACTGTTCACCTGATAGAACCAAAATCACGTAGGAGACACATGACTAGGCTTGTCTCTAAGGAAGTTTCTCAACTGGATTCACTGAAGTGGGAAGACCCACTTTAACTGTGGGTAACACTATCCCAAGGCTGGGGGTTTAAACAAGAAAAGAGAAATCAGAGGGTGGTGGTGGCGCACACCTTTAATCCCAGCACTCGGAGGCAGAGGCAGGAGGATCACTATGAGTTTGAGGCCAGTCTGGTCTACAGAGTGAGTTCCAGGACAGCCAGAGCTACACAGAGAAACCCTGTCTCAAAAGACCAAAAGAAAGAAAGGAGGGAGGGATCGAGGGAAGGAAGGAAGGAAGGAAGGAAGGAAGGAAGGAAGGAAGGAGTAATCTGAGCAGCCGCATTCACTGTCCTCTGCTTCCTGGTTGCAGCTGTGACCCACTGCCTCAGGCTGAGGCATGGGGAATGCAGAGCCTGCCCTCACTGGGAGCCTCCCCACTGCACAAGCCAGGGCTGAAGCCACATTCCAGGCACACTTCGGAGAGGTGGGCTCCCCTCCCCAGCCTTGTTTACACCTAATGCCACTGCTGGGTACGTATCATCATTCCACTGAGCTGATGGGGAAACGGGACCCCAGAGAGGTTCCCAGACAACCCGAAAGCACACAGCTAGTGGACAGCTGAGCTTTAGCACTGGGTTCAGTGCCACCAAGAGAAGATGTTCAAGGCAACAGAGCAACTGTCCCCTAGGCTAGCTTGGAACAGGCAGCAGAGAGGCAGGACAGGGTGATGACTGAGAGTGAGGCGTCTGGCCCTTCATGTCTAAGCGATGAACCACTCTGAGCCATCCTGACCAGACGAGCCAAGAACTAGAAATACTAGCGTACACAGCCAGCTCCTGGGGTCACTGGGTCACTCAGCCTCAGCATGATGTCCAGCGCTGATCTGACATATGATCAGGCTGGGATCATTAAGTCTGAGCTGAGGAGTCGTGTCCCCAGGACACAGCGGGCACACTGGGCAGGGGGCAGAGAGAAGGCACACCAGAAAGTGTTAGAAGAATGCCACTACCACAGTTCCAGCCCTGAGCTCTGGCTCTGGGAAGGAGATGGAGTGAACAGCCAGACCCTGAGGAGGGGTATTCTTTCTTGTAGCCCAAACCAATCCAGGAGAGCCTGTCCATCTGCTCAGGGGCTTCTCAACCCAGACATTTGCCCCACCCTGCCCAGCCCTATATGAATTTACACTCACGCTTAGCAAGACCTCCTTTACAGCCCTTCCCGTCATGCCCCAGACCCCTGGATATCCATCCCTATTCTATTTCATCCTGTGTCCAAGACCCCTGACTGAAGTTCTCTGCAGTTTACTGCCCTGGTGTACCATGGGGATTCCAGAGCAGACTCCCAGGCAATACAGAGGAACCATGCTGATCCTGTCCAAGCTAATCACAGAGGAGAGGTGTCCACATACCGAACTTGCTCACCCACTCCAAGCCAGGCAGAAAACCCTAGGGGTCCACCCACGCAACATGAGCAATGAATGTGACCTCCCTCCACTGAGGCCCTCCCTCCACTGCAAGGGCATCTGTCCTGGAGACCCGGGGCTATCCGCCTAAGAATTAGCCTTCATCTCACCCAGGGAGAAAAAGGGTTCCTCTGCCCTCCTCACATCAGGAGAGCCAGGATTTCAACTCAGGGCTCCAGATGCCTTTAGCCATCGATTATCCCCCCAAGTGTGAACACACACACACACACACACACACACACACACACACACACGCACGCACGCACGCACACGCACACAAACACGCACACATGCACACAAACACACACGCATGCACGCGCACACACACACAAACACACGCGCGCGCACACACACACACACACACACACACACACACACACACACACACAAACAAACAAACACGCACGCACGAGCTTTCTGTTACCCTGAGCATAGTGGAACTGTGATGTCTAAACGGCTCAGCAGGTTAAGGCACTTGCAGGCAAGCCTGAGGATCTGCGTTCAATCCCCACAACTCACATGGTAGAAGGAGAGAACCCATTTCTGTAAGTGTCCTCTGACCTCATTTGTGTGCCATGACATGCAAACACATGTACACAAATACACACACACACTACATAAATTAATATAATAAAAAAATTTAAGTAGCCACCCTGCTTAGGTACCACTGGCTCTAAGTTGAGCTAGGCACAGCAGAAAAAAGAAAAATCAGTGGTCCAGTTTACAAAGGAGGAAACCAGAGTCCAGAGGAATTTTGGCCTCCATGTGGCCCCTAAGTCAGTGCTTGGGTGGGCTAAAACAAGGCCCCAGCATTCCAGTCCTTAGCCACTAGGCTGTCCTGCTTCCTGGGAGCTCCCAGGCACAAGGCGCAGAGAGTCCCCAACAATAACAACAAAGGGGGGATGTAACCAGGTGTGGTAGCTCACAACTGTAATGCTAGCATTTAGGAGGCTGAGGCAGGAGGATTGCCATTAGTACAAATGGACCCTGTCTCAACCAAAAAAGGAAAAAAAGGAATTATTTTTAAATAGGGGCTAAGGATGTAACTCAGTTGGCAGAGTGCTTGCCTGGCATGCACACAGCCCTGGGCTCACTCCCCAGTACTGGGCACGGTGGCACATGCCTATAATCTCAGTAGAGACAAGAGAACCAGAAGTTCATGGTCATCTTCACTGCACGGTGAGTTCAAAGTCACCCTGGATTATGTGAAAACTTATCTGCCCTCTCCCACAAAATAAAGCAAAATAAAAACTGGCCAGCCAGATGGCTCAGCCGACAAGGGTCTTTGTTGCCACACCTGATGACCTAAATTCAATTAATTCTCCAGAACCTACACAGCAGAAGGAAAGAATTGACTCCCATTAGTTATCCTCTGACCTCCACACATGAACCATGGCACATGCACACACACACACACACACACACAGTAAAAAATTTAATTAAAAAAGGATGATGGATTGGTATTAGCAGAGGTAGCCACACAGCGGCTTAGTTCCCATGGATAGCTCTGGGGGAGCGAGTCTCCTCTCACAAAGATGCTGGGAGAGTCCACAAGTCCACTGAGGCCACTTGGGTGCTGAGAGGCCTTGGTGTGGGACTGGGGCCAGGCCTGCTTCCTGCTATGCAACAGGCTCCCAGTCAAAAGAAAGAAAGAGGGGCCGCCATAGCCTCAACACTGACCTCATCCGGGCAAAGGGTCTAACCACTGTCCCACCCTGCCCCACGTTCCACTGCTCTGCTCCACTCTCTTCCCAATGGGCAAAGCAAGGATGAGTTGTAAGCTCACTTACTCTGTCTGGGGCGGTACAGCGGCTGGGTCCAGGTCTGTGGGAAGAGCAAAGGAGACAGCCTGTCAGACAGAGGCTGGCCCCAAGAGCTGAGCCTATCCCCGCCCCCTTCCACCCCGCCCCGCCCACCCTGCAAGGAACCAGGGTGCCTGGAGGAGCCCCTGCCTTTCCCTAGGCCCCCACTCTATTGAGTAAGCTCCCTACCTGTCCTGCCTGCCCCACACCGCCCCCACAGCCCAACCTCAGTCAGAACCAGCACCCCGCCTGCCAGGCTTCCACCAACCCCAGCTCAGGAAGTTCCTGCTGATCCAGTCCCCAATGTCTCCCAGATGACAGACCTGAGCGCCCAGCAGCTGGCATTTACCGACAACATGACTGGGCCCTCCCACCCCCGGGGTGCTGGCTCCCCAAACAGACAGATGGGTTCTTTGGAGCTGTGGCTGGAAGGCTACAAGAGCTCAGGGCTTGTGTCCCCAGCAGAAACGATTCCATTTCGGGCCCCGCCAGAGTGCAAGCCAGATGTTGTAGGAATGCTAGGAATCTCCTTTCCCAAGAGAAGCGGGACACAGCCTCTTCCCAGGGGCTCTCTTCCTGCTTACTGGAGACCCTGGGAGCCAAACACTCCCCACCGGTTCACTTCCTTGCTTGAGACCCCCAGAGACACCTCACCTGGGCCGGGGACAGGGTCGAAGCAGATCAGTGAGGGCTCTGTATCCCTCTCCGGGGCAAGGCCAGGAGCCACCACGTCTGCGCTGGTGCCCTCTTCATCATCACTGTCATCAAACTCAAAGGCTTCTCCGGAGTCCTCCTCCACCTCCGGGGAGGGGCCTGGGGCTCTGGGAGCCAGTGGATCTTCTGGAAGAGGGGGGGGGGGGGGGTTAGTGGGCTACTGGGCCTCCAAGGACCGGGTCTGGAGGCTGGTTAGCAGTTCCGGAGACTAGGCTAATGCTGCTCAAGCCAGAGGGTCCTACTGTGGTCCCAAAGCATCTTGGGTACTGGGTCAGGTCTCTGAGCAGAGGGCAGCGGAGGCGTTACTTGACAGTCTCTCCTCTTAGTCTGTTGAGACAAGACCTCACTCTGTAGCCCAGGCTGGCCTGGAACTCAGAGAGATCCGCCTGCCTCTGTCTTCCAAGTGCTGGGATTACGGGCGTGCGCCACCATGCCTGGCTGAGTTCCCAGTCCTTTCAAATGCACATGTGAAGACACCTGTTTCTGTGTGCTTACATGCTGGTGCCTAGGGGTAAGTGAAAGCAAGCAGGCTCTTCATCCCACATGAACAGGCGGTGTGAAACAGCCTCTTGGGAACGCTGTGACTGGAAGGCAGATAGAGGACACCCAGGTGCTGAGGCAGGGCTGGCTGGAGCAAGGTGTGAGACCTGAGTTCCCAGTACTGAGGTCTCCAGCAGGGCCTGACTTCCTGCTTCTCCCCTCCTGGTGTGTTCTCAGTCCCGTCCCCACCCACCCACCCCGCCCCCCCATCCCCATCCCCCTTTCTTCACAGCCCAGCTCAGAGGTCTCCCCAAGCTCACTGGGGGTGCCTCCTTCTGCCCCTGCCTCCTGCTTTCCTCACCCCGGTCTTGCATGGCCAGCACCAGCTTATTCTGAATAGCATGCAATCCCCACCAGAGACGGATCCCAAACACCTCAGCTGACTGTGTCCTTTACTGTCAGGGTCTGACTGGTCCAGGCTGGGGCTCTGCAGCTTTTGTCTAAATACCTAAGGACTGGGATTTCTGTCCAACAGAGAGCACCGTGAGCACTCCTGATTCTGAGGGTCCTCCCGCGGCAGTACTACATAGCTGAGAGCCGAATCTCACTCAACATCTCTGCACCTTAGTTCCCTCCTCTCTACAAGGGAAAAGAAAAGTACCCCCTAAGGCTGCCTGCAGGGCCTCAAAAATTTCTCAGCTCAGTGTAACTGGCACAGTGAATGTCAATGCTACCACAGCATCCTTCCCACACACTGTGGGGGCTCAGCAGCATCCCACTGAAGGACAGTGGCTCCTTATAGTTATGACACCCCAAAGTGTCTCTAAACATGACTGTTTGTTCCCCAGGGAGCAAGCCTCTCCTAGTCAGGAATTTCTGCCCCCAACTTGAACGACAGACTGTGGAGCCTGCCTGAGACCCCTGAGGACATGAGTGGTGGAGGAAGACAGAGCAGAGAGCAGGGTGGAGGAGACAGCAGATGCATGGATGGGCGGCCACCCTCAACTCCAATAGTCTCTCCTCCCCAGAAGCCTCGATTCCTCCCCATGGTGGCCCCAGGCATGACACTCAGGCATACATGTAGATGGAGACCAGCTCTCCTGTCAGATGTGGTGGCTCATACCTGTCATCCCAGCACTTGGGAGGCTGAGGCAGGAGGACTACAGATTTGAAGTCAGCCTGGGTTACAGAATAAGATCCTGTCTCAAAAAAAAAAGGAAGGAAGGAAGGAAGGAAAAGAAGGAAGAGAAAAGAAAAGAAAAGAAAGAAAAGCTGGAGCTAGAGAGACATGGCTCGGCAGGTAAGAACGCTTACAGAGGACCTGAATTCTATTCCCAGCACTCAACCACCTGGATCCAGCTCCAGGAGACCCAGTGCCTCCTTCTGGCTTCCAAAGACACAGACATAGGCATGCACACTCACATACACAGAAAAATAGTCTTTTTCGAAAAAAACAGTGGGGCCAGAAAGAGGACTTGGGAAAAGATAGCGGCACTTGGGGCCCAATGATGGCAGCCTGATGACTTCCTTTCCATCCCGGAACCTGCATAGAGGCCTAACTCGGAAAAGCTGTCCTCTGACCTCCGCAGGCATATTGTCACACACACACACACACACACACACACACACACACACACACACACACGCACACGCACACGCACACGCACACACACACACACACACATACACATACACACACTAATAATATTTTTTTAAATCAGATATTGGGGCTGGAGAGATGGCTCAGCGGTTAAGAGCACTGGTTGCTCTTCCAGAGGACCTTGGGTTCCCCAGCTCCCGCATGGCAGCTCACAACTGTCTGTGACTCCAGTTCTAGGGGATCTGACACCTTCATACCAAATAAAATAAAAATGCACAAAAATAAAAAAAATTAAAAAGAAAACAAAAAGAAAAGAAATCAGATATCATAGCTGGGTGGTGGCGGCGGCAGCGGCGGCGGCGGCGCACGCCTTTAATCCCAGCACTGGGGAGGCAGAGGCAGGTGGATCTCTGTGAGGCCAGCCTGGTAAGTTATAGGACAGCCAGGGCTACACAGAAAAACCCTGTCTTGAAAAAAAAAAAAAAAAGAAAAGAAAACCACATTTGGCGGTACAATACCAAATACAATCCACTCGGTATTGGGTTGGTAACTTCGGACATTTTAAAGCTTTATATTAACAAAATAAGATTAGGCACAATCTTTAAAATCGTTTATTTGTATATGTGTGTGTGTGTGTGTGCCAGGATGCTCCTGCAGAAGTCAGAGGACACTCGAGTGGGAGTTGGTTCTCCCCTTAAGCCAGATGGGTCCCCGGATCAAACTCAGGTCATTAGGCTTGGCAGCAAGTGCCTTTACCCACCAGCTGAGCCAACTCACCAGCCCATATCAAGTACAACTTTGGTTCTGTTTTTGACGGTGGTGTTAATTATATATACAGTGTGTACGTACAGTCTGTGCATACATGGGAATGTGCACATGTATGAACGTGTGTGTGTGTGTGTGTGTGTGTGTGTGTGTGTGTGTGTGTGTGTGTGCAGGACTTTCTGCTCTCTCCCTTTTCTCTCTACTCCAGCCGCACTGGTCTTCTTGCTGTACAAGAATGTGGTAAGTAGCTCCTGCCTCAGGAACTATGCACTGGCTCCTCCAGGGCCTAAGATGTTCTTTCCCATCTGTCTTCTCCTGCTCCCCCTCAGGCTGCCATGGAAAGCCTGGGACAAGGTCTCATGTAACCCAAGCTAGCTAGTCTCAAACTCACTACGTAGCCTAGGATGACCTTGAACTTCTGATCCTCCTGCCTCCACCACACTGTGGTGGGAGGGAGTGCTGGGAGTAGAGACAGGCACCACCACACCCAGCTCTCAAAATAATTCTTCAGTCCCACAGTAAACGACCACAGAGTCTCTGCCTGCTATGTGGGGAAGGTACAAGACAGACCCATCCTGCTTCCTGGATGCCTAACCTCTCAGTGTCCTCCGTCTTCACTCTGACGGGTCTCTCTGCACATGTGGCAGGTGTCACCACAGTGACTAAGGTCTTAAGGCTCCGCTCAGCCCTGACATCGGCTGTAGGGTGAGTGTGGAGATACCTGACCATCAAGCTTTGCTTGGCTTCTGCTATCAAAAATGGGGTCACAGGGCTACCTGGCTCCCAGGGCTGATGAGGAAAGACAGGTTAGCATGGAGCCCCTGGTGTGAGGGCTGAGCTCAGTCACTACCAGCTGTTTGCACAACAATGATGCCAAGTATATTATTGTCATTTATCACGTCATGTTCTCCTAACTCTATCATGGTTATTACTATTATTACAGCCCTATCTGAGCCCCATCCATGTCCCTGGCTAACATGAGCTGTCACTTCCAACTCACAGGCCAGCCCCTGTCACTCTGACTCCCCCAGGGAGTACTAGGGGCTCAGGTCACTTTGGTACTTCCTTCCTTGAAGAGTGCAAATAGCTCCAGCTATCCTCATCTGTATCACCATGAATCCAACCAGCTGCTCCTGGCAGCCCTGAGCCAGACATTGTGGGGAAGTTAAGACATTGGCTGAGGTGTCAGAGGTCACTGAGGACCTGGTGGTGGGGGGAGGGGGGCGGGAGAAAGAGGGATAAGGCCATGCCCAAAGAGGAGGCAGCCAGTGCTTACCAGGCCCTGGGAAAGGACCTAGCATGAGGCTACCCTTGGAGAGCCAGAAGGATAAAGAAACATGACGTGCTTGGATGGGGAGTGGATGCAGCTCTCGGGGGCAGCAGGAGTCAGTGACCAAAAGCGAGTGCCCCCCAGCACATCGAAGACATGAGCCATGGCGTGGGTCAGCATGGGCCGGGTATCTGAGGGCATCCCTTCCTCAGGAACTGAAAACTAGACACAGACACGGACCAGTCCAACAGGTGACAAGGGAGCCCGGAGCCGGCTGTCGGTCAAGACCTTAGAACAGAGGCTCTGGACGGGTCCGTTCTGTTTTCATTCTTACTTCCCAAACGGCCTCCTTACAGGATAGGAGAGAACTGGGGGCCCAGTGGCAGGAGCCAGAGGGACCCGAGGACCTTGGCACAGCAAAGATCCCCTCCCAGCTGGCTGCCCTCCCCTCTTCCCCAGGGAACCCTGTAGTGGATAACTGTTCCATGACCTTGAAGTACCAGCCCCTAGGGCGTGGCCTCGGGGGCTAGCTTAAGCTGAGGGGCACATATGCCTGGCCCCTTCTCTCCCTCATGGGCTTGGATGGTGCAGACTGACTCAGGCGGCAGGAGCATCGTGGGACAGGACGTCAGCCTTCCAGGACTCAGTGACGATTTTGCCTATCCTGTTTAGTGAGTTGTTCTCCCCAATATAATTTCTAAATAAATAGTTCCTTTATCGTTATCTGTGGATTATCTGCTATAGAACCCCACACTGATCGTCATCAGAGGGAGGATCCACTGACCCAGCTCAGGGTGATTGGAAGCCCAACCCTTCCTAGCCATGCTTCCAGGTAGCATGACAGATGCCAGTCACTCATGCCCTTGACAGACACACCCAGTTCTCAAGACAGTCAACCTAAGTGAGTCTAGGAGGCAGAACACCGAGAAGCCATATTGCCATTAGAAAGCAATCCTCTGGGCGGCTCCTCCACCACCGTCAAGGTGGGCCTACAAATTAGTGGATTCCTCATACTTCACGAGAGAACATTCCAGAGGTGAAGAGACTCATCTTCTGGCCCCACCAGAGCTTAGGCACGCAAGGACGACCCACACAGGCTCTGCACACCCTTCAATGAGACACTCTCCTATTCACTGAGCACTGGTTGCCACACACAGTTCTTCATGTATGTTTAAGCCTTGCAACAGTACAGAAGAGGGTGGCATTATTACCCCGCATTTGAGGACAAGGACCCTGAGCTGGAGAGAGATACCAAGTCCCATCACTAAGCTCACAGTGTAAGTGGTGGCCGGGTCAGGATCCAAACTCAGACTGGGCCAGTAATCAAGGAGCCTGGCTGGTAGCAGATTTATTCTCTTCCCTCCCTGAGGGGTGGGGAGGGGGGGCAGAAGGAGACTAGAGGAGAGGAAGCTGGGTTTGTGGGTAAGACAGTCACAGATGCCACCCTGCGGTATCCGGGGCCCACTGAAGGGACCGCCAAATAAAATACAGGAAGCTGGGTTGAATTCCAGATCAACAAGTGGTTTTGTTAGGTAAATACATTCCTTTTTTTTTTCCTTCTTTTCATAAATTGGTCAAGACTAAGAGGCCTTCATGATCCGACTTTATGGTCACACCCTTCCCCTCAGTCCCAATTTGCACCTTCAACTGTCCCACTTCAGCCCCAAGTGCCCCTCAATCCCAGTCCCTAAACCGTCCATTTCCCCAGGTGATCTCAGGTGACAGGTAAATCACCGGGAAATGCCTGGGGTTTACTCCAAAGACATGACTCCATCTTGTGGACAGGGAAGCAGATGGAGACACAGGGCAGGGCACAGAGCCAGCAGAGCTCAGCCTGCCCAAAGCCAGTACAGCTCACCCATGCCCCCGGGCCCCTGGGGTACAGTACCTATGGCAGGCTGTGGAGGAGGGTTCGAGGAAGCCATCAGAGTCCAGCTCAGACTGGTGCCGCCGTCCTCAGTGTTCGCTGTGAAAAGAAGGCCAGAGACTCAGTCAGATAACCAACACAGCCAGGGAGCCTGGCTTGTAAGCCATGCTCTGGCCCGGCCACACTCACACTCTTCCCGGCAGCCCTGGGAAGGGCCCAGCCTCCACCCAGTATAAATCATTAACTTATAGAAAAACGTGCAGCTGCAAGGCAGAAACCCCCATCTTCCCAGAATTCACCACAGCCACAACATGCCTTAGCCACCGTCAAGGGGCCCATAAGAGCCCGTAGGCCGCCAAGAGGGTCCCTCCCACGTCCTCTAGCCCAGGGCCTGGGGTCGCCCTTGAGCGCCCAGGTCCCCGTGTTCCAGAAACCATACTGCCCTGGACTGGACTGTCACAGATGTGGCGGGACACCTCCTCCTCATGGTGTCCTCATCACCACAGGCTCCCTGGGGGCTAACCGCTCTCACCAGGCCCCTCCCGAGGCCCCGATACAAGCCACCCTCTCCTCATTTCTCACTGTCCTGCCCTATGGTGTTGGCCAGCTGGCAAGCAGCCGGCTGCCTAAGTACATGGCTGTAGGCTGCAGGGCAAAGGGCTGCAGGGCAGGTGGACGGCACACGACAGGGACAGAATCCAAAATGCCCCAAGCTGGGGCAGCTTTCTGCCCTGGTGGCAGAGGCCACTCTCATCTCATGAGGCTCACGCATACAGCAGGGCCAAACCATGGGGGGAGGACTCCCCAGGCTCTGGGGCAACCTTGCCGGCTGTCCCTTACAGAGCAGGGAGAGGTACCCTGCACCTCTGATCTGGCAGCTGCCCTTCTAGACCTCCCTGCAGGGAGGGACTCAGGCCTAAAGAGAGAGCAGAGAACTCCGTCCAGCCTGACCCTATCACCAGCCTGACCCTGTCGCCAGCTGGCTGGGGGCCTGCTTGCCTTTTATTTTTACTAACTGAAAACAGCTTTTATTTTTAACTAACTAACTGACCGAATAAAAATGGAATGTGCAAGAATGACCGGGAAAAACGATGACAGTGACATTCACGGAGCGCCTGCAGCTCAGAGGCCACTCCAGGCCCAGGACAAGCACTCGTGTAGATGGATACATCACCATGAGAAAATGAGGTCCAGAGTGTGTCTGCAACTTGACCAAGATCACACAGCTTGGAAGACGCGGGATTCAAACCAAGGACATACACTGTCCGTGTTCCTTAAGGAACCAGTATGGGGCTGGAGAGATGGTGACTCAGGGGTTCAGAGCACCGGCTGCTCCTGCAAAGAACCCGGATTTGATTCCCTGCATCCACATGGTGGCTCACAACTGTCTGCAATTCCAGTTCTAGGGGATCTGATGCCCTCTTCTGGATTCTGTGGGCACCAGGCACACACATGTACAAGCATGCCCATGTGTGCTCACACATTCACATGTGTGCTCATACACACACACACACACACACACACACACACACACACACACACACACACACACAAAATCTCCCTTTTACTCCAGGTTCTAAACTCCCAGAAATAGCTAATGTTAGTTTCTTAAGAATCTTTTATCCGGGTGTGGTGGCACACACCTTTAATCCTACCACATGGGAGGCAGAACTAGGCATGTCTCTCCGTGAGTTCAAGGCCAGGCTGGTCTATAGAGTGAGTTCTAGGACAGCCAGGGCTACACAGAGAAACTCTGCCTCAAAAAAACAACATACAAAAAAAAAAAAACCAAAAACAAAAACCCAGAACCAACTTCTAGAACAATCCAACAGATTCACTAGCTGTCACAAGCTTATTCAGTTGTCTCCTCCCCCTTATTCATGATGTTGTCTTCTATGTCAGCTACCCCTCCCCCCAGTAAAGCATGTCACCATGGCTCTGCCGTTGTTCCTTTGACCACAGCCTAATGCTCTGCTGCACACCCACATCTCCTGCCTCACTTCAGCTCATCAGTGGGGCACTGGGCATCTCCCTTCACTACCAGAGGGGACGCAGGATGCCATGAAGGAACCTGAGCGGTGAGAGCCTGCCTTCACCTAACCATAGCTTTTATCCAGAGAGCTGCCACCACTGTTCAACTTCCTCGCTGCTTGTCATCATTAATGTGTTCTGCTGTCCGGGGTCTGAGCTTCCCGTCAGGCCTGCTTCCAAAGCGTGCACAGCGTTGGGCACTATCGGGGACGTCAGGCGTCACTGGGGATCTTGGAGCATCGTCCTCAGCCTGTTCACACTGAAGGACACAGACCTCTCCACTGTTCGGTTTTCATTTCATTCTTCTTGGTCTCCCAACAGTGCATGCGGAAATGGGTGTGTTTGCTTTCCGACACTGGGTATAGAACCCAGGGACTTGGGTGTGCTAGACAAGCATTCTGCCACCGAGCTACATCCCCAGCTCAGACATACATATTATTTTCAGTTATGTGTATATTTGTGTATGTGTGTGCCCAGCAATCCTCTTGTCTCTAACACACACACACACACACACACACACACACACACACACACACACACACACAGTGCGAGAGCTACAGGCATGCTCGTGGCCACATCTGGCTTTTTATAGTTCTGGTAATTTGAACTCAGGTCCTCATGCCCGCACAGCAAGCACTCTGACACACTGAGCCCAGCCCCCTTTCTCAAACAGCACGCACCTGTGCTGTACTTGCCCTAGACAGCCCCACAATTCATCTGAAAGTCATAATCGCCCCTGGCTGCACAGGCAGAAGCTACCTTGGTTTCTTGATGTTATAAATGAGTCAAAGGTGGACATCATCCTCCCTGCCCTGACCCCACCTGCGCCTTGTGGAGGTGAGTTCACAAGCCTTCAGGGTTCACCCCTAAAAACACAAGTCTCTAAGGATAAATGCCCAGGGAGGGACTGATGCCATCCCACTTGCAAACTGAAGATGGGAGTACAGCCACATAGCTGTCCTGCAGGGCTCCTTCCGGTGGGCTCAGCCCTCAGATCTCCCTTGTGAGCACTGGGACCCAAAGGCAAGAAAACAAATGCTCATTTCACAGAAAGGAAAATGGAGGCATCATCACCCAACCTCACAAAGACGGCGTAATAGTGACGGCAGAGGCTTGGACTTCTTACAGCCAAAATCCAGAGGCCTTCCCTTCCAGGCTCAGAAACTTTCTGTGTGTTTTCCATCTAATTCCCTCACCATCCCATCTCTTACAGTGACAGACCAGAGAGGTTAAGGATTTGCCCGAGGTCACACAGCCAAGGCGAGCAGCTGGCAGAACAGGACACAGTACAGGGCTCTGACCCAGGAACTCTGATCAGCCCCCTGGCCACACTGCTGCCTTGGACTTTGGGGTTGGACTCTGGAGGCACCTAATCCAGGCTAATCAGCACCCCTGGAAACTCTTCTGGGCAAGGACATATGTTAGTGAGTCCTGTCATACCCACAGACCTGTGGCTGCCACTTCACGAAGCCATTAGTCTCCAAAGAATGTGGGAAAGCGAGGGGGCTGGCTCGAAGCTGCCCATGGCCACCTCTACAGGCCCTTGTGGGCAAAAACAAAGACAGGGAGCACAGGCAAAACTTCCAACGAGGACTCGGCGACGCCAGTCCCTGCCAGTCAGTCCTCCTTTTGCCAACACATGAGACACAGGCTGTGACAACCAGTTTGTTCCAGAGTTGGGGCCCAGGCTAGACTCCCACGTGACCACTGACAGCTCAGTCCAGCAGAGCCCTGGTGTCCACATCTATAAAATGAGGATCTAGGACCCATCCCACAGGACACTCTGTAGGACAACTGAGGCCAGCCAGAGCCTTGGGAGGATGTGTGCCAACACACCTGTCCCCATACAGTCACCCACAATGAGGGTAGCAAACAGGACTCTGCCAGGATGCCATACCACAGGAGTTCAGGGGACCCCAGTACCTGAAGCCCTGAGGATCTGAGGACAGCATCATGGAGTGATGGGATCTATGTGGAGGCTGGGCTGCCCCCTCTCTGTGTGGCCCCAGCCTCCCCTCACCTCTCACAGCTCTAGGCTTTGCTTCTGGGCAGTGGGTACGCACACGGCTGCCCAGAGGCCTCAAGGTTGCAACATGGAGGAGCCCATTAGAAAGCAGATGAGGGGCTGGAGAGATGGCTCAGTGGTTGAAAGCACTGGCTGTTCTTGCAGAGGTCATGAGTTCAATTCCCAGCAACCACATGGTGGCTCCCAATCATCTGTAATGAGATCTGGCACCTTCTTCGGGCATGCAGGTAGAACATTGTATACATAATAAATAAATCTTTAAAAAAAAAAAAAAGAAAGAAAGCAGATGAGGAGCCAGGCGGTGGTGGTGTACGCCTTTAATCCCAGCACTCGGGAGGCAGAGCCAGGCGGATCTCTGTGAGTTCAAGGCCAGCCTGGGCTACTGAGTGAGTTCCAGGAAAAGCACAAAGCTACACAGAGAAACCCTGGCTCGAAAAACAAAAAAAAAAAGAAAAGAAAAGAAAGAAAGAAAGAAAGAAAGAAAGAAAGAAAGCAGATGAGGGTGATACTCAGGACAAGAGCTGCTCGGCGGGGTGCTTGACGCTTTTTAGGCTTTCCCTGAGCTGTGCAGGCTAGGGAAGCTTCCAAGAAGGGGGCTGTAGCCCAGATGACTGCGTTGTGGTGATGTGAGGAAGAGCCAAGCTAGACCTTCCCTGTAGCAGGCTCTCCTGAAGGGGAAGACATAACAGACAGCTGAAAGTGGCCAGGCAAGCACAGAGGTCCAGCCTTCCCAGAGCCTCCCTACATTTCGTTTCCTCTCATTTTTTACATTTTTTTGTTTGTTGGTTTAGTGTGGTTTGTTTAAAAACGAGATCTCATATAGACAGACCAGGCTGGCTTCCGAGCTCTGTAGCCGAAGCTGACTCTGAACTCCTGATCCTTCTCGTTCATCTCCCGAGTGCTGAGATTACAGATGTGTGCTGTCGCACCCAATTCATCAAACGCTGAGTGCTGACCCCAGGACTTTGTGCGGGCCTGACAAGGACTGTGCACTGAGCCCCATCCTCAGCACCCCAGCTGTATTTTAGCAGCACAAAGAGAA